TTTAATTTGTTGGTGTTAGGTATTGTGTCTCAGCAACCAGGAGAGTAACTAAGAAACAGGGCCTCCATGTTGGCCACAGCTGATCCTCACTATAACCTTGGACAGGCCATGCTATAGGTTCTTGAAGCCTCTGAACCTGCTCATAGTGTAATATGAAGGCTGCAAGAGACTAGGAGGGCAAATCCCTCAGCCCTGCTCCTGGAACTGATGGCAAGTGGCAGTGATTCCCTGACTAAACTGCCACACAGAGGCTCTGCTGCTGGCTGGTCCTGTGGATCCCAGAGGGAGCTTTGCCATGCCGTACTAGGGAAGACGTGATTAGTAAATCCTCTGAAGTGATTAGGAGATTCTCTAAGCAGGGGGGAGAAAGGGGAGAGGCTGATGGCAACATGTCAGCAAGTTTATAAGCGATCCAAGGCTTGTTCCATGATTGCACACTCTTTTCTATTTTAATTTTGAGCTCAGAGTATTAATGTCTTTATCTTAAAGTATATCCAATGACTGTTTACAGCTTCTGAGAGACTTTTTTGCCCCTAGAACTTTAGCACTGGGCACAGCACTCTGGGAGCCATGTGACACGAGCATAATGACTGAAAAATGACTTCTTCAACGGGCATCATCTCAGAATGACTGGGAATTTCCCACCACTGCAGCACATGCCTTCCATCTCACACCGGCTACTTGGGGATAATGTGGGCTGTACAAATCCTCCTTCGTTGGTTTCTGATCAGGGTATCTGGCTACATCTAGGCTTCAGGCAAGCACAGTTGCTGAAGGTCTGTCTCGCCACATGATGGGTGACAGAAGACCACATGCTTGTTTTAAATTTTGGCTCTTGAGCTATGGCACCTTATAGGTGAATATATGTAAAAAAGTAAATCAAAACAGTGAAAGCACTAGAGAGTCCAGAAAATGGTGCTCCACGGCTATTCAAAACTGAGGCTTAGAGCCTGTGAGTAGAAGTCCTAAACAGTGGTGATTGCAATGGCAATGTACAAAGAGGAATTTAACTAGAAGGTGACAGGTTACACTCAATTCCTTCTGTATTGTCATTAAAAAGCTTAAATCGAAACCGGGCATGGTGGCACACACCTGTAATCCCAGCACTTGGGAGGCTGAGGCAGGACGATCACTGTGAGTTCTTGAGATCAGCCTGAGCTACATAGTGAGTTTCAGGTCAGTTTCAATTACATAGTGAGACCCTGTCTCAAAAAAAAAAAAAAAAAAAAACTTTCGTTGAAAGGAAGTATTAATCCACTTGGTAAGTTACCAGAGGATCACCTGGGTCAGTTTTAGCCTCACCTAATCAGTAGTAAGAATGTTTCTCTTTCATAGCAATCTGCGAAGGAAGACAAACCAAATTGCAGGCATGTTTTTAAAAAAATTCAGCCACTGTTGGGAGCCATTCTGCATACATAATTTTTGGGAAAAATCATTTCACAATTAAATTATGATCAGGTCTAGTCTTCTTGCCTACAGGCCAGCTATGACGTGCTGAAACATAACTCTGTTTTTGCCTCCAGTCACAGCTGAGACCTCAATAGTCCCGTGATGCTGTGATAACCAAAGGCAAGATGACATCAGCTGAAGATGTCTTGGTTCCTTGAGAGCAAAACAGTAAGAGAAAGGTTTCACCTGGGGAGGGACAAATTCCTTCTCAGCTTAACTCATCCCACCTACGCTGTAGGAAGTCTTTGCTCATCCTACCTCCCTAACCGTTCTAATCAATATAAGCTTCTCACCAACCTTAGATCCTCCTCAGCATAAGATCCTCATGGTCACAGGATTACCACCTCCCTCAGAGACATCTGATACTTCCTCCAATTATGAGATCCTTGTCAATTTAGGATTGTTGCTGCCCTCTGAGTCATCTGTTGCTCTCTATGAACCCAATAAATTGTGGTAAGCTTTGGGTGCCTTCCTCTTTGCTGCCCAGAGCAGCATTGATCAGGCCCAGGAGCCAGCTTCTTCGCTAAGTCTCATTTCCCGTCTTTACGCTTTAATTTGCCCTATGCTGTCATGGCTTACAGGAGAGCAGGACTCACTGTGGGAGTTCTGGTAACATCCCCTCTCCCTGTTCTCTCTATAAGCCACAGTGGCACAGATATGACCAGAAAGGCCACACAAAAGTGAGAAAACTACTTTAAACCCAACTAAGGACTCCTCAAAGAGATTTTCTTTCACTGGAGACCAGGTACAACTCAATGTCCATGTTGCTTTATGGCACACTGTGGCTTATTAGAATCTGCTCAGCATGGCCGTCAGGATGAGGCTGATTGGTTGCTCTCCCCTTCAGACCTGGCAGTCTATGCACAGCAATAGCTTTTAATCCACAGTCAACTCTTCACCTGAGTACTGGTCATATTCTGACGCTGACAGGTTACTGTTAGCCTAGTTCTATTTGTGCATATTTATTTCTCTTATTTGGTTTATACATTGTTGTTGAGTGCTTAAGATAATGCAGGCATACTCATGTAAAAGCTACACAGAGACAAAATAAGGCACATTCCCACTCTCAGACACAATTATACAATCAATTACTCTACATATTACATATGTATAATGTAAATAATTATCAGGGAATCTAATAAAGCCTGGGGGAGGAGGAGGTAGGGCAAGATTTTCTGCAGTAGGTGATGGCTGAGCTGAACTTCAGTCATGAATAGGAGTCAGCTGGACAGGTAAAGGATGGGGTTGGAAAGAAATTTCAGACTTGCTAAGGTAAGGAAGCTAGAAACAGCACGTGTCAGGCAGTTCTGCAGATTTCTTTCACGACATCACACAAAAACATGGCAAAGTGTGAGACCGGAGGTAAACTGGGACCAGACACAGTAGGCTTCTAATGCCAAATTCAGTTGAGGCCTCGCTGTGAAGAAGTCATTAAAGGGTCTGAGAAAAGACACATTGGATTGGGTAGACAGGTCGGTAGGTTGGGTAAGATCTGAAGGAGTGCTGCACTAGAAAGCAGGGAGACTGGGAGAAAGTGCAGCAGTTGGGAGAGGTGGCATTGTACACAGAATGGCGAGGGGTGGGCCTGACAGGTGAGGGACCCTGAGACTGACTGGAAACCTCCTATCACTTGACGCCAGTGAACGGCCCTGAAATTAGGATAGTTTAATCTTCAAAATACCTATTTTTCAAATGAGAAGTAGAAACTCTAAACATCACACAGCCACAAAGTTGGCAAAGAAGAGCTAAAATCAGATCTTCCCTTTGCATCTTCAAAGCCCCATTCACGGGATCTCAAACACAGCAGGCTCTCAAGGCAGACATTCAAACATAGGACATTTTTTAAGGGGAGCACCAGAGATCAACATCTATGCGTAGCAAGTAGTCAGGCAGAAATCGAAAACAACTGATCCTAAAATGTATATGAAAATATAAAGATAATATGGAATCAGTATAAGGTAAGAAATATCAATCAACTCAACAGAATCAACAGATTAGAAATAATCTTTCCATTTACCATCTTTGAGAAAAGCTGTGAAGGCGATGCAATAGGAGAAAGTCAAACCTTTTCAATAGTTCATACTGGTAATCTACATGCAAAGAGATAGATTAGGATCCCCACATCATATTAAAAAAACTAAAAATGAAGCATGGACTTAACGTGAGGGCTGAAACTATAAAACTTGAGGATGAAAACAGAAGATATTTGTAATCTTTGGTTTAGGGTTATTAAGTACCACACCAAAAGCATTGCCCTTGAAAAAATATTTGAAGGAAACGGACTTCATCAAAACCAAAAGCTTTGTGCCTTTTGTGTTTTAAAAACATCTACAAAGAAATGAAAAGTAAGCCACTATCTCGAAGAAAATATACACAAATATTATTTCTAGTAAAGGATTTGTACCCAGGATAAGTAAGACCTCTTCAAATTAATAATAAAACAAATAACTCAATTCAAAATGAGCAATGATTAAAAAGATAACTCATCAAAGAAGAAATGTGAATGGCCAAAAGCACAGGAAAAGATGTTCACTATCATTAATCATAAGAGAAATACAAATTTAAAGTGAGATGTCTCTTCATGCCCACTACAGTAGAATCAAAAAGACAAAATATTGTTGGTAAGAACATGAAAAACTGGAATGTTCATACATTACTGGTGGGAATGTAAAATGGTGTATTCACAGCTTTACTTTCTTTAAAAATTAAACATAAATTTAACCTACGACCATGTAATTCCTTTCTTATTTACCTCAGAAATGAAAATAGTCTCTCTCTGTCATGTATATGTATATATATGCTTTATATAAAATGCATTTATAATGCTATATATAAAATGCTGCTGTGAACGTGTGTGTGTGTGTGTGTGTGTATTCACAACAGCATTATTCATAATGTCTACGAAGTGGAAACAATTCACATTTCCATGAACTGGTACCTGGTTAAACAAACTGTGGTATAGCCACGCATTGAATATTATTTAGCATTTAGAAGCAACAAACTACTGATGATATATGCTATAACATGGATGAATATAAAAATAGAGTAGGTGAAAGTAGACAAATGCAAAAGATTAAATAGTGTATGATCTCATTTATATGAAATGCCAGAAAACACAAATCTATAGAGACCAATAGCAGATCAGTGATTGCTTAAGGCTGAAGGAATATTTTGGGGTAATAGAAATATTCTAAATTGGGATTGTATGATGTTTGAAAAACCCTATAAACTCACTAAAAATCACTTAAAACACAAGAATTTTGTGGTATGTAATTATGTCTCAGTAAAGCTGTTAACATTTAGAGAACTTATTTTTCCCACATAATGAAGGATCTGTAGGCAGCCAAGTCCAGGCCTGGTAGAGTGGAGTTTTCTTGAAGTCATTAGAGACCTAGACTTTCTATCTTTGCCTCAGCTGCTCCTAGCACGTGTGCTTGTTTTCGTGGTTACATCTCAACTTCCTTCCCATGAGATCCTTCTTAGCTAACAGAGGAGAAAGCATATAGAGTAAAAAATGAAACAAAACAAAACAAAACAAAAAAACGCTGACCACTGCTTCTTGGCTTTTTGGATAAGAACAAGTGCAGTACCTGTTTTTATCAGATTAACATCTAATGTATCCTCTATCTAAGGACAATATACTAAACAGATTTTTGGAGTAGGGAGGTGGAATAGGAGTTGCTTCGTCTACTTCACACATTGATCTGATCTTGCAGTAACTCCAGAAATGGTGCATGCTCTTGGTAGAACGTAAAAAACAATACACTGGCCAACGAAGCCAGCCAATGTTATGGATATTTTGATGAAGTCCCACTCAGTGATTCTTACATGGCCATTCTTGACTGCAAAGGAATCTGGGAAATGTAAGGATATATTTCTGCCTTTAGTGAAATCAAGACTTCATTACTAACGTTGAAGGGAAGAGTGGATATTGGATAAACAGCTTATGATCTTTGGAAAAAATACTTCTTGTGTCAATGTAAACACAATAGGAACAGCACTATTTAGTCATACCACAGCATTGGTTATAAGGCAACGGACCAGAATACACTTATTATTAATATGAAATAAAAACAAAGACAATTAAATTCTTAATGAAAACCTAAGAGCTTTGGAAAAGCTATCTGAAAGTGAGACAGATGTTCATTATTATTCATGTTTTTATTTCTAAGACAAAAACTCGAGGTGTAGGACATTTGGTATAGTAAAAAGAGCAGGAAGGGCTGGGATTTAGCTCAGTGGTGCCATGCCTGCCTCTCAAGCGCAAGGTCCTAAGTTCGATCCCTGGTACCAAAAGAAAAGAGCAGGATTCTTCAGTTAGAAACATCTGGATCTCAAAACTTGGCTACACTCTTTAGTAGCTACATATAACTTGGGCAAATTTCTCAATTTAGGTAAGCCTTAATTTTCTCATCTGTACAATAATACCTGCCTCATGGGGCAGCTCCGTGGACTCAATAGGATAGCAGGTGTGAAGTACTTGTCTGAGCCTCAGTGACAGCACCTCCTTCACAACTCAAACAGCACATAACGCATGCACAACACAGCCTCACACCAGCAGTGAAGAATGAGTACCTTTGCCAAAATTAAACAGCTGTCTACCATAGCTTCCCCACATTTCCCAGACTGATTATTCTTCTCAAGAGAATTCCTAATTAGAGATTATCTCATTCAACACACACCCTCATCTAGGGAAAGGGAAAGCCAAAAAAGAAAAAGAAGCAAAGAACAAAGGGAGATAAAGGAAACATTCAAAATACTCTACACTTTTGTATCTAAAGTGTTAATAATCTTTCTCACAGTTGATTCTTTTATAAAATCAAAGAGAGAGCACTTAGAAAAGCGTGCCAACCCATTTCCATACTCAGCGCGGGTGGCTGTGAGAAGCACGTGTCCAGGTGGTCAGCTGGCAGGACCCCAGCCTGTGCACTCTTGCCCACTCCTCATACATCAGTTTGACTAAGCCAACACAGAATTTCTTCCGCCACTTTCTTCTAGAAGCACAAAATATTGCCTAAAGTAAGATCCTATTCAAACTGACCAATTGTGTTGGCATTCAGATTTTAGGCAGTTTGCTACTGTAGTGGATTCTTAAAAGTCCTGGTTAACACTGAATGAATAAAATCCATATTTTTGTGGGAAAGCTAAGCATCTCAGAGACAGACTCCAAAGCAAAACTGTGAATTTTGCCAACTGAAAAGTAGAACAAATATTTAGTATGTGCCTTCACTGTCCATAGCATATCAAAATTGTAATGATGGCAGTCTCAGTAATAAACGACACTTGGTTCATCTAAGAGAAAAGCGCAGGCTGACAAAATGAACACAGTGCTTTAGGATGCAGCGTTACAGTTTGGCCTTTCCAGCCATTCTGTATCAGTGATTTAACTTTCTTCCTTCTCACAACTCATTTGAGCACTCTGTAACTTGCTTGTCTGCTTTCTCCTCTCCTGTAAAAAGAGGACAGGAGGGGTGGTGAGAGGAGCTCTCACAGGGTACCATGCGTAGTAGGGGGCAGCACAGCTGTCAACAGCAGCAGCAGCTCAGCCTGCCAAAGCGCAGCAGCTGTCGGGACCTGTACAGCTGGCTGCCACTCTTTCCCCAAACTCTCCCTTAGACCCCAGATTGAGAAATTGTTTGTCCTTCCATGTCCTCCACGACTAATGGATGTTAATTTCTAATCCTGGCTTTGTGCAATTTTTTTCCTTGCCTGAAACTTCACATTTGAATTAGAAGTCAATTAAAATTAAAATTAAAACAAAACAAAGCATCTTCTCTTTTCTTTTTCTTTTCTTTTTTTTTTTGGTACCAGAGATCGGGACCTTGCACTTGCGAGGCAGGTGGCGGCACCACTGAGCTAAATCCTTGGCCCTCTCTTTTTTTGATAGTCATCCTATATGATAATTATCACATTCCTGCCTTTTCTTCTCATAACTGATATCCTAGAGCACCGTTAAAATGCTGTTACCCACATGTGCAGGCCAAAGAAGGACCCCATCTAAACCCAGCCTCAACTATAATCAAAAAGCAAAGCTCAGAGTAGCAGTGCTTGCTGAAGTGATTATAATAAAATTTCCGGCACAGTGAGTGCTTTCTCTGCTATCTAATCATGTCATGGCCATAACACAACATAAAAACAACTGCTTACATCTATATTTTGGGTTATAGGAATACTTTCATGTTTGTATAATACGCAATCTCAAAACACGATTGATTGCTTAGTTTTCCTACTGTGAGTAGATCTGATATTTGTAAGCAAAAGAGAAGATGGGGGGCTCAGAACTGAGCAGCAGCTGGGCTCTTCATTTATTTATGTAAGTATTTATGAAGCCTATAGAAGCCCAGTGTGAGGCCCTGAGTATTTTGCACACAGGCCCTACCTTCATTTGGAGAGGAGATGCACTTTGAATAACAATATACAAATGTAATAAGGATCACTCTTAGGAAGTTGGTTTACAAAATCAGGGGAGTCCTATATGCTGGGCCTTGAAGGGTCTTTAGCAAGCTATATATCAAACGTGTTATATATTAAAGTGCTTCTAGAAGTTTTATTTTACTCATAGCCCCCTTTTATATTAGAAGGTGACATAGCTACTTTGATTCTTACTTGAGGGGCAGTAAACCAGTCTCTGGATTTTGGATCCAGTGCTTTACTCAAAACACTAGAGGTCAGCAGCCCTCCAACAGTTGTGGTCAAGCCAAGATGCTCATCATGTTTTGGGGTGCTGTTGGCGCTGATTCTCAGACAGGGAATCCAATCAGTACTGCAGCTGCTTTCCTAGCCCCACTCCTCTTCTTTTGCTAACACTTTAACCTCTGTTTGGGCGTCCTCAGCTCCTCCTGCAAAGCCCAAGTGCTTGGGGAAGCTGATCTGGAAACAGGGTTTTTGGAGCAATCCAAGTTAATTTGCATTATTCTACCCATGGCTCTACATATTGATTTAAGGATGTGGTCCTATTTGGGCAAATAAAACTGCAGTGAAATTTGCTTAAGATGACTGGCTATGATGAGAGAGCTTCAGGAAGTGACTATCTCTCCCTGAAAGGGAATGAAAGAGCTCAAACACCCTCAGACATACTTATGTGGCAACCACCAACCATTTCAGAGTGGGCGAGGGGAGGGCTATAAAATGGAACTGACTGTAAGAAACAGAGAGAAGTTAAAAAAACACAACGACAAGCCGGGTGTGGTGGTGCACACTTGTAATCCTAGCACTCGGGAGGCTGAGGCTGCAGAATTGCTCTGAGTTTGAGACCAGCCTGGGCTACATAGTGTGTTCCAGGTCAGTCTCAACTACATAGTAACACAGTTGTCTCAAAACAAACAAACAACAACAAACACACACACACACACAATGACAAGTTTTCTGGTGAAGTCCTAGTGGGTAAATGAAGCAAACAAATTTTGAAGTCTCTCCCCGCCATCAGCCTCCTCAGAAGGAGAGATGCTAAGGACTGAACTCAGGGCCTTGTGCATACTAAGCACACGCTTTACTGCTGAGCTATGATCCCATCTCCAGAAGCTTTTGCTAACCAGATTCCACACTGCAAAAGCCAACAAATCTCATTCCTTCAAAGCCAGGTTGAGTTTGTTGTTTTCTTACTTATGTCTCAGAGCATTCTAAGTGGTACATTGAGGGGACAAAGACAGGAACTACAATGGAATTTTGACAAATGTAATGCAAATGATCTACAAGCTACTACTCATTAAGTTTCAATGCCAGCTCACCCTGTGCTGCAGACACCAAAGTTTCTCAGCAAATAAGAGGCTCATAGATCTGGAACGCTTGATTGAGAAGAACTGGATGAAGATGACATTGTATTCTCAAGGCCTATCTCTTTTTCTCTTGGCCAATTAAGTCTTTTTAAATAAATTGGTTCCACTTCCTTCCCATAACCTCAGTAGGGGAGATATTTTTGAAATACATCGACTGTATATTGATTGAAATATATCTGAAATGTATCCACTCATTTTAAAATGAATGGTTATATTCCCTCACACTGCAGGGACCAGGGGCTGCCACTGGCTTTCGAAAAGCAATAAATAAGGAGACAAGAGGCCTCCTGCTCCAGCTCTTTGCCACCAACCTCCCTCACCTGCTTAGACATAAGCAGTCTCTAAATCCTCCTAGTGCTAAACAGTGGCATTTCCTTTAGTTCACTGGAATGGGGTTTTATCTGTATCCACGCAAAGAAGCAATGAGAGGGTTAAAGGAACCGGAATACAGTTGGCCCTCCCTACCAGAGAGTTCTGCATCCATGGCTTCAACCAAGTGCAGACCAAAAATATTTAAAATGAAATTACATCAGTATTGAGCATGTATATACTTTTTCTTGTCACTATTCCCGCATCAGTGTAACAACTATTTTCATAGCATTTGCATTGTATTAGATATTATAAACAATTAAGAGATGATTTAAAGTATATGGGGGTGAAGGGAGGGCAGGAACAAGGGGAAAAACTGAGAACCAAGACCACCTGTCATGTAAAGGTACAAGATCCCAATAATGAATGTAAGTGTACTGTATACCTAAAATGTACCAATAAACTCAGTAAAAGAAATAAAATAAAGTATTTGGGATTTTAATAAACACACGATGAGTGGGTAAGTTATGTGTAAATAATACACCCTGAGCATCTGTGGGTCTTAGAATCTGCCAGGAGTCTTGGATCCAGTCCTCCAAGGATTCCAGAGAATTATATAACTCTAAGCAGGACAGGAAAAGTTTACTCCACCTCTCT